AATATAAGACATTATAATATAAATAATGAGCCAATGAATGACCAAAACTCTTAATATCGCTCTTCATTTCTGCCGTATTTCATGAGAAGAGATGCGCCAAAAATGAATAAATTCTGGAGAAAGAGAGAGAGAGAGAGAGAGAGAGAGAGAGAGATTTAAAAGCGATTTCCCATACAGAAGAATCTGTTCAATACTATACGGTCAGGGATTCTAAGCACAAAAAAATAAAACATAAAAATGATATGATTTGCGAATTTAAATTATTGCTGACATAAGCTATGAAAACATTTGCCTTCAAATGAGCCCAAAAGTCTTGTTCAACAAAATACAGTTTTCTTTTAAAATTTAAATGAATACATTTTCCTATACTGTATTTTAATTCAAAAAAGTGTTTCAAACTGATATATCATTTCCAAATACGATAATAATCACTTTTAATAAGATTTGTGACATTTTAATAATTTTTTATATTTTATCATAACATCTGTCATAAGTATAAAGTCACTCAATACTTGTAATAAGAAATACACTTTTTTTATATTAAATTTCTGAACATAAAAACTCGAGTCATTCTCTAAACACTTTTTATAACACAATCAATGTTTTCATCAAAGAATTTGATTCAGAAATCTCAATTGTATTGAAAAAGTGTCTGAAATGTGATTTTAAGTTAATATAATTGAGTGAACATCTCTTATACAGCACTTCTGCGATCCTATATTACACCCAATTGTTTGGGAATCAGTTTCGCAGTCAAACTGTCGCTACATTTCAGTTCCCAATATATTGTCTAACATTTTACTTATGCTTTAATACACTATCAAAATATACACACATTTCGTGCATAACATCAGAATATATTTAAATAATAATAATAATAATATGTTTCCTATATATCTCTAAAAAGATCATTTTCTTCCTTTACTTATACTCTATTGAACTTCACTTTAAATATATGGTAACAAATGTTTATAATTTAAGTTTTATGTAAAACTTCATTTTAAACTATATATTTGCTCCAACTTTAAAGTGATTTTGCTATAACTTTAATTGCTATTTGTTTTATGAAAGAACAGTTTAGACTCCATTCAGTATTTAATCGTTTATATCTCAAGTGATTTGTCAGAATATTGAAGATTTTGACAGTTATTGGCAGTTAAGACATTATATCATTAAAATAATTTAAGAAAGAAATGAGAGAGAGAGAGAGAGAGAGAGAGAGAGAGAGAGAATTTTATTGAATGAATTTTATAATTTGTACATGTTGAAACAATTGATAGAAAGCATGTGGAAAATAGGAAAATACTCTGATATTTTTAAAATTAAAAATTTTTCATAAGATATCTTAAGAATTACTACAGTACACTGTACTGTACTGAGTACAGTACTAAATAAATAATTTAAATGAATTCGTAGTAAAATGAAATAAAAGTCTGAATTTATTAAGGATATATTTAAAAATTTTAGTCATTCATAATTTTTAACAAATTCAATTGTTTAATTTAATATTAAACTTCATACAATATGAGACAAACATATTTACTGTGAGTAACAAATAAATCGAGTTAATTTATAACTCATTTATTAAATACAAAATGCAATACAAAAATAATACAGAATTTGATTCAAATGTAATTCAATTAATAATTTACACAAACTTTCAACAAATGAAAGATAATATTAAAATAATATTTAATATTATTTAATAAATACTAATGACTATTAAATAATATTGAATATTTAAATAATAACTCGTTTTATATTTAGTGAAAAGAGAGAAAAAATAAAAATAATAATCAAATAAGTAGACAAAACTCATTATCTATACACTGATAGTCATTGTGATAACTTAACAAATAAATAGAGTATTTAACGTAATTAATGCACTTAATGGTGGTGTCGATCACCAGATTTTAATTGATTGAATGCCTAATTGAAGCGACAAATCGTTTAAACGTTGGCACCAATCGTTGATCTCTTGAGGCGAACGAATCCAGTCATCAGAAAATAAGCCAATTTGTTGGTCAATGAAATAACCGGTCAAATCATCCTTATTTGCCATGAATTTGGTCTCCAGAGCCTGTCTTAAGGGCTCGAACTGGTTCTCAGACGCTATCGCTATGACTGGCTTTATATCCTCCGCTGAATTGGTGTCCATTTGCATGGGTTGTGAGGTTTGCGACGAACGCATACTAGTGGTACGGTATGGCGAGGGAGTGGCTGGTATTTCTGTGGGCATCGAATCCCTGGATCTGATCCTATTATCACTGGGAATCTTAAACGTAGACATCCTATCGGGTGTCGAACAGACCACAGATCCGCTCATGGGTTGAGTGGGCGCCACAGCCTGTGATGCGAGTCCACCGAAGAACTCTTGACGTTTTAATTGGGAAAATGTTTGACAGTTAATCCTCTTCTGCATAAACGACTTCACGGACTCTACTTTGGATCCGTCGGCAAACGGTTTGCTTTCGATGATTGACATCAAGTTAGTGACCATTTGTTGGTTATAGAAGAGTTCGTTCTTCAGGAACAACACTTCCGACTCGTGTTTCAGTTCGTTGTCACCGATCTGTTGAGTGAACTCTTCGCGCACGTCGTGTATCTTCTTCTGCGACTGAATCACTTGTGTCTTGAATTTCTGGACGTCTTGAGTCAACATCTTGTTCTTGGACTCAAGTATTCTAATGCGACCCTCAATGGCATCAGATATGACACTCGAGTCACTATTGGAGCGATCGGTGATCATCCGATTGTCATCGTTTCCATCTGCGGACAAACAGCAAAGCATTGGTCAAACAGATTCACAAGACATGTGATGACAATGAATACCGATTGACATCGTCTGAGGGGCGGGTCGTATGAATTGAGTGGTCTGTGTCTCACTGGGCCTACCATTCTTGACATACAGGTGCTGTGTATCCACGGGTTTGTGTGACTGTGACTCAACATATTGTTCGGCCGCTTGACTCAAGATCTCGTCGATCAATGGGTTCCCCCAGTCGTCGTCCTCATCGATGGCTATGTCTTTGGATATGTCTTTGGATGCCACCAAATGGTGACCACTTGTGCTCATACTTGTCATACTGTTTGGCACTGAAGTCATGCTCCGAAGGAAACCATTGGAACCATTGCTTGTGATGTTGTTATTGGTGTCACCTTTGGGTCGCTTATTGCGATCACCCTCTGGAGTGATACTGTGGACCCGTTTGGCGATGGTTTGTGTGGTTTGTGGCGGATATAGTCCGGTCTGACGGCCACTGCGATCCCTTTGATTATATGTCATCCTATATGTCACCAATGGATTCATTGAAGAGATGGTCAACACATGTGTCGGTCAATGAGGCCTTCAGTGGTGTGAATACAACACAACTAATGATAACAACAATGGACTGTAATATGAGACCAATTGGAGTGCTATTTGTGGACACAATTCAACAGACAATGCATTGAATGTCAACACAGAGTGTGATTGCGTTCACTGGCATTGAACTGTCGTTTTAGCGCTACATTTGGTTTGTCACATGTGTTCACAAATGATGTTTGCATTCATTTACAGTATTTTCAATGAATATGAGTAAGCAAACACTGCACGATATTTTCAATAACTTTATCCTATTGATAGATTATATTATTAAATTAGATTAACTAGTACACCAATTTATGTGATTTTGGTTAAATCTTGTGATTCACACATCACCTTATGTTGACTTAATTTTAAAACTAAAACTCATTGACATGTTTATCAATTATAGCATTTAAGTGTTCATAAGTTGTTAGGCATTTCAACAATAATACAAGTTTTAAGAAATTACTTTTTAATACAATTTTTGATAATTTTCAATTTAATAATTTTTAGTTTAGTTTGATATTTAAATTAATTGTGCCTTTGAGTAGCATACAATAATATATTTTTTATATAAATGGTTATTCTTGAGTAGTAACTGGTTTGCAATCCAACATAACTATTATAATACAAATAATTAAATTACCTAGCATATGGTTATTTGAATAGTGCTTTTCTTATAAATATTCATTAAATTATGCTTAACATATAAATCTAATTACTATTACTGTAAGTCTAATATAAAACTTTGGACTATTTATGAAATACAGAATATTTTACTTTTTAATATTCAATATAATTTATACCGTATATATTATATAAATCATTATATTAATCTCATATTTTAGTTAAATTAAATACGATATTAACGTAGGGAAATATAAGTTAATAAAATTAATATTAAAAATACAATTCATTAATATAATACAAGGAATTTTCTGGATAATGTTCCCTCTTTTTTAAAATAATTATTTCGCGATTGTCTTATATTTGATAATTAAGTGTCAAGTGGATCATAATAATCAAAGCAATTATCAATTATTGAGCACTTTTACAACATATTACATAAGTTTGTTTATAAAAGATTGATAATCAATATGAGAAATTCATGCATAAATTGCCACCTAAACAATATACAAACTCAATTATCTAATAATTATTTAAATCACTCGACAGTGAGATTCAGTGACATTTACCACAATTTCATTTATCCTCAAAACTTGTTCAAATATTTTCATAAGTATTGAACAATGATTACATTGAATTGCAATATAAATTGCAATTTTCAGTGTATTTTCCTTTAAAAGTAATTATGATTAAAATGTATAAATAAAGATACAAATCATTTATCAAATTTAAACTGAATTTGTGTGGAATCCCAGCAATAATTAATTGTATTTCGGAATAATGTATAAATAGATTGAGTCAATGAAAACACAATTGAATCTATAATTCATGGAATTTCTAATTATATCCAATAATAGCATAACGTCTGGTGTGATGTAAAAGTGAAATGAGACCAATAGGTAAACCACTATACCTGGAGGCTTGTAGTGGTACTGTCCTTGTAGGTACAGGAGTTTGATTTTTCAAATTCAATGAAATAGTAATGACATTCAATAGTATTGTACACTACAGTACAGTATATTCTCTAATTACAAGCATTATACAGAATAATTCAATACTTTTTATTTGTTTAAAAGTCTTATTTAATAAGAATTTGTAATATAATCTTAGGTAGGATTAAGTTCTTAGAAATGAAGTGAAAAGTTCCGACAAAAAATTCACAATAAGTTACAGAATAATTCAATACTTTTTATTTGTTTAAAAGTCTTATTTAATAAGAATTTGTAATATAATCTTAGGTAGGATTAAGTTCTTAGAAATGAAGTGAAAAGTTCCGACAAAAAATTCACAATAAGTTAGAGATAATCATATAAATTGATAATATGTAATATCCTTATCGATATAATCTTCGATAAAATAGGTGTACACTTTTAAAGTCTATTCAAACTTTGTTATATAAACGTCACACTAACCCATCAATAGATTTATTGTTTTCTGAATGTACTTTTTGTTGAATTAAATCTATTTATTTTAGAAACAGCTGCAAATAATAAATGATTGATTCGTTGATATTCATAGCAATATTCCACTCAATGAATTGTTTTCACAAATATTGAAATAGTTTATTAAAATAGTTTCACATTTTAAAATTTCAAAACTTATCATCCAGTAGTCGAAACAATAAAATGCATTTTCCTCTATTGAAATGCTGGAAATGGATTGTGTTATGGATTTCGCCAATACTTCTCTCATCACTATTCCTTTATTCCAACGAAAAGGTTTGAGACCTTAAGAAATGACTTTATTTTACTGAAACTAAATGATTAGTGCATTAATTATGTGCAAACAGGAGATCAAATGTGTGTTTGTGGTCTCACTTATGATCATATATTGGTTGACCGAAGCCGTGCCTCTGGCTGTCACTGCTTTGTTGCCAATGTTTTTATACCCATTCCTCGAAATCATGTCAACCAAAGAGATTTCAGGCAAATATATCAATGTAAGAATTTTTATGCATAATATACACAGTTGTGTTTAAAACTTTGTTTTTACAATAATCTTTTTAACTTGTTAGGCATTAAAGTATAAATAAATAAATAAATTTTATTTTTAATATCTAATTTTCATAATTTGATTATGATTTTTGTAAAAAATAGGAAACTCTTATGGTATTCTTAGGTAGTATTATATCCACAGTAGCCATCGAGCAGTCAAATCTTCACCAAAGAATTGCATTAAGAATATTAATGCTTTTTGGGACATCTCCTACTTGGTACTTTCATATGAGCCGTTTATTTAAATTAATGTTGAATTAAATTATATTTCTTATGCATTAATTGTAATTTATCAAGGCTTTTATTGGGTTTCATGAGTACAACTTCTTTCATATCAATGTGGATTTCAGACACGGCTACCACTGCCCTAATGGTGCCTATCATAGAAGCGGTTATTCTCAATATAATGGAACAGAAAAGGACCAGTGTCAGTGTGACCACTATTAGTCACCATAACACTAATGATTGTGAGTTTTGCCACTTTTATATTTACTCGTATTTAATTTACTTTAAAAATGTTGTGTTTTATAAAAATAATTAGTGAATAATAATGGAAATCTGGACCCAAAAGAAGTGGAAATAGTTGATAGTCGGAGGAAGAATTCATTCAAGTAAATCATTTTTAAATAACTTTTATCGCTAACCATATTATCGTAAAGTAAATATTAATTCGTTATATTTATTTGCGTCAAACAGAGTCCGAATGGAAAGGGATGCCAACAAAGAGGAGAAGTCATTCAAACTAATGAGAAGAGTGCTATTCTTGTCGGTCACGTTCTCATCACTAATTGGTGGCACCGGCACTCTGACCGGCACCACAACTAATCTTATATTTAAAGGATTTGCTTCAAGGTAATTATTTTAAAATGTTAAAACATATTAACATAACTATAAGTATAAATATAAAACTTAATTTCATAGTCTAGAAGGCGATAACATAACATTTGCCAATTGGATGCTGTTTGCAATCCCAGGTCTTATCATATGTGTGCTATTAGTTTGGATTTTTATGGTTTTGGTTTTTGTTCGCAAGTTTCCCAAGTATTTCATGCAAATTGCTAATAATTTAGAGATCATTTCAAAAACAGTATTTGTAATTAAAAATGTAGATCTAATAACGAAAAGGTCGGGGCATTTATTAAAGCGAAATACAATTCTTTGGGATCCATGTCGTAAGTATAGCTCACATCTACGAGAATATCGTATAAATATTTATGAATATATCGATGACTTCAAAGGTTTCACGAATTCGCAGTTCTCATCATGTTTTCAACGCTATTGTTGTTATGGTTTGTCAGCACTTGATAATCACATGCACTCCAAGACATGTCTTTTCATATAATTCTCTAATCATAGGTTTTTCAGAGATCCGGACTTTTTTAGGGGTTGGGCGCCAGCACTCCACCCGCAATCGTATGCCTATAAACTGTGTTTTAAATAAAGTTAAATAAAATAATTTAAAACTTTAAGGACTAACTATATCAACGATGCGTCGGCCGCTATGCTCATCGTGTGTCTAATGTTTGTCATTCCGGCTAATCCTCGAGACTTACAAAACTCGAAGCCTTTGATGACATGGAAGGCTGTCCACGAGAAAACACCCTGGGGTGTGTTCATACTTATGGGAGGCGCTTTTGCCATGTCATCTGGTATTAAGGTATCACTTAATAACTACATCATCAAGAATTTTATACTTTATAATTGGTTTTAAAATCTTATAGGAATCTGGTCTCTCGAAAATAGTTGG